CCGAAATTTTGACAGGCACGTGATTTGTAAATTGAAACTGTCTGATCCAGTCACGTGCCTGTCAAAATTTCGGAGCAAATCGACGAAAAAGATGACAAAAACGAACACGGCCATAAAATGAATTACTTCTGGTTTAAGAACCGACGAACGTTTTTGACGTCATTGATTTGTTTCAGTTAATTTTTATTTGTTAAACAAGGAAAGCAAATGCTGGTGGCAAGTACAAACCCTGGAGTGCGTTCACAGTCGAACGCCGGACGCTCACCGAGTGCACACCGAGCGCGTCTTTTGCAGGGTTAAGTCGTTCACGGATCTACCTAATTCACCCGGTTAAAATATTTGCTCCGTTCACAGAGCCATGATAAGTTTACCCGGTTGTACAACTTTTTAACCCACTCTGAGATATGGGTAAAATTTGTCGCGCAGGCGTTTTACAAGAATATTTGAAAGGACCCCGCACACATCTTATGGGTTTTTGGTTTTCTGTCAAACTCAATGAAATTTTGATATGTGGTATATCTTGACTTACTGATAAAAAGTTCTCATGGGCCCAACCCGATACTATGATTAGTTTCCGAAATACAGGTGGTTTAATGTTCAAGAAATGTACACATTTTATATGCATTCACATCTACCTGTCACCTATTATTAGGTCTGTCAGAGTGAATTTCATTGGTTGTAACTAGTTTTCTGACTGTTTTCGACCAATTAAATTCGCTCTGACAAGTTTGTGATTTTTGCAGAAACAGACCTATTATTAGGTGACAGGTAGATTGTGAATACGTATAAAATGTATACCTTTCTTGGACATAAAAGTACCTGTATCTCAAAAACTAATCATAGGATTGGTTCGGGCCCATGAGAACTTTTTATCAGGAAGTCAAGGTCTAACACATATCAAAATTTCATTGAGTTTGACAGAAAACCAAAAACCCATAAGAGGTGTGCGGGGTCCTTTGATAAACAATACTGTTGGTAATCTTTCTGGGCCATGCATTGCTAACTTCAACTGGTTTTCAAGTTTTCCAGGAAGCCAGTTGAAAGCTTCTCTGGAAACTCTAAAATTTTCCTGAAACTGCTTATCGCTATAATTGCGTATTGTTGCCATAAAATTATCCTGTCTTTCAATATGCCTTTTGAGACTTGAACATAAACTGCTAGCGCTATAGCACATGCAGCTTGTGCTACAGCATAGCTGACTTCTTCCTCTGTATCAGACGAATCCGAAGAAGTTTCAATAGTACTTTTAAAAAATATTATTCCCGGATCCATCTCGAAACATTCGAAACAAAACATATGTAAACAAAAGGAAAACAAAATCAAATCCTACCTCGTTATGGTGCAGGCGTTAGTCGTTCACGGATTTGTCATCCCAAGCGCATCCTTTTCAACCAGTGAAATATTTAACCTGGTTAAATTTTACCCAGGGAAAACCACTGTGAACGCGCCCCTGGTGAAACAAACTTTTCCTACAGCCGTGCGGAGTTTTCCCGCACGGTGCGGTAAAACTTTTTTTTTGACATATCAGTGCGGAAAAAGTTTTTCCGCACGGCTGTCAGTGCGGAAAAAATTTTACCGCACTGATATGTCAAAAAAAAAAGAAAAATTGTACATTTTTTCGCCTGTAGGAAAAATATTGTACCTAACACTTGCGGAATAGCTATTTACCTAACAAGTGCGGAAAATGAATTTTTCCGCACGCGGCTGCCGTTCACCGAACGACGCGTAGCGGAGTTCGGTGATGCTGCCGAGTGCGGAAAAATATTTTCCGCAAGTGTTAGGTACAATATTTTTCCTACAGGCGAAAAAATGTAAAATTTTTCTTTTTTTTTTTGACATATCAGTGCGGTAAAATTTTTTCCGCACTGACAGCCGTGCGGAAAAACTTTTTGCGTGTGTTTGCGTGCGGAAAAGACACTTTGCGCACGTGTTAGGAACAAAATTTTTCCTACGAGCTTCATATCAAGTAGGTAACAACAAAAATTTAAAAAAAAAAAAACGATAATTTGTTCAATTATTTTTAATTAACTTGGAGCGAACCTACGCATTTATCAAACAATTACGTAACAAAAAAAATAATAATAAAAAATCCTCGTCAGAGCTGTTCATCTTAAAGCGTTTAAATTTGATGAGAAAGTTTGTAGATTCTTGCATATAAATAGAGAACAAATCTGACAATGTGTCAAAGTTAATTATATTCGGTGTTCGTATAGATGTAGGCTGCTAAAGAAACAGAGAAAAACTTGTCATCATGTGTCAAAGTCGACAGGTACACTTATTGTTGCTTGACAATTATTTTTACTTTTCGGCACTCAGTGCGGATAAGGCCTGTATCCGCACTGAGTGCGGAAAAGTGTAACTTTGAGTACCGAAATGCGTGCGGAAAAGTACTACTTTGCGCACGCTCGTAGGAAAAATATTTTTCCGCACTCGGTTGCATCACCGAAAGCCGCTACGCGTCGTTTGATGAACGGCAGCCGCGTGCGGAAAAATTCATTTTCTGCACTTGTTAGGTAAATAGCTATTACCAACCCTAACCTAACTTTTTTCAAAAATGTAAGCAAAAACAAACAACAAACAGCTGGCAACACAAAACAAAAATAAGTTCGAACTCAACATTTGAAAATGTTTATTCTTAGGAAAAATCTATCATTTCTTAAAAATTATCCAAAAAACCTGTCAAAAACCGTTTAGTACGGGATACGAGGCCTATTTCATCAAATCATTTTACACCGTCTTGCATTGTTATCATCAGTTAGATAACATGGTACTGAAACGCACTTGTGCAGGGAAATAGATGGGAGTGGGGGATTTCGCTGAAAAAAATATTTCAGAAAATGTCGTCATAAACAAGGAAAATATATTATTATACACCGTCTTGCATTTATTTATTGAGTCAATTTGTACACAAACAAAATTGGATTACCACATGCAAGACGTTTTCATGGAGGTTTTGAGGTTGTAATATTAGATAGAAATTGTTAATTTCTCAGAGGGGTGAAATATCATTTCACACCACTCCATTGTTGATTTAGATTAAAGCTTGAATGTAAAATAGCCACTGGATGCTGATGCAAGACGTCCTGTGGAGGGATAACGGGCTGCAAGACGGAGGTCAATGTGTTGTCTTATGAAGGAGTGAGAAATCATTTTACACCGTCTTGCACTGGTACTAATGGGAAAAACAGAACACATTGATAACATTTTTGAAAATACAAGACGTTCTAAATGGAAAGAAAGGACTGCAAGACGGTGATGAAGTTGACTAATTTTGATGGGGGTCAATCCATCAGGTACAAAGATGAATACTACTCCAAATTACAAATTACGCACATAAATTTTAAATATTTTTCCTCTTTACCACATAGAATAATTCTATTTTGCAAATTTCTCTTAATAATATATATTTGAATGTCTCTACGGACATCCATGAAAAAAAAGGTTGAAAATTGTTCTTTTTCTGGCGGCTTATAATCATTTAAGTTTTTTTTTGAGGTGGATATGCCATAACACATACCGGATTGTAAGTATTAGGTGAATTTGAGAAATTTGATTTTTAAGCAGCAAAAAAATGACAACAAATGATCTGTCTGGAATTGTGAAGAGAAATTATAAATCCTGTATTCAACATACTCCCCTGTTGAGCTGCTATGTCAACTGTCCTTTTCCATCTGTATGATTTAGAAAAGAATGAACAGTGAACGGTTCAGTAAATAACTCAACAGTTCAGTTAAAAAAGAAAATGGATTTATTAGGTTCGTTTCAACCCAGCCAAAAACCGTTCAATGTACGGTCACGGTCATGCGCCATAGGTTAAACGCGTTCCAACCGAGAGATGATCGTTTACCGTACAGTTTCGTTGGCGTTCCAACCAAACCTGGGATCGTTCGAGAACTGGTTTTAGCACCGTCATTTCGATCCCGAGTGGAAAGCAAGAACCGCGTGGACTGATCCATGACTGACATGCGTAATTCAATTTTTGTCACCTGTTGTTGTTCATGTTGTTGTTAAACAACCAATTTCCAATCTAACTTATAAAACTGTGGCATTTTTATTTTTTTCAAGTGAAAAAAAGTACAAAATTTATTATCAGCTATTTGCTAATCCTTGATGTTATCAGCTTGCAAGGATTCAGTTTCAGATTCTTGATAATGAATCAGCGTTGGTGTTCGATTTTCCTTTTTTATATTTTGTAATCCTAATCCTATATTCTTCTATTTTAATTTGCGAACAAACAAATTTAGGGTTAAAGTTATTTGAACTGTCGTCATTACGAAAACGATCATGAAACCGTTCCAACTACCCGTTGTTTCTGTACCAAGATAAAACCGTGCAAGGTCAACGCATGCGCCTTCAATCGATCCCAACAGTTCCGAAACCGTTTCATGACGATACGAAAACGGGGGGTTGGAACGAACCTATTAACTTTTTTCCCCGAAAAAACGTCTTGGAGTGATGTATTACCATTTCTTAACATATATTCTTCCGGCGGACTTAAGCATGAAGTGGTGTGAAATAATTTTTCACTCGCACATTAGACAACGCATTGACATGCGTCTTGCAGCTCTCTATCCCTCTACAGGACGTCTTGTATCAGTATCCAGTAGCTATTCTACATTCAAGCTTTAATCTAAATCAACAATGGAGTGGTGTAAAATGATTTTTCACCCCTCTCACAAATTGACAATTTCCATCTTCTATCGCAACCCCAAAACCTTCCTGTTATTTATAGATTTATTTTCATTGCACGAGTTATATTTTATAAGAAAATTTCCTGAATCATAATTGCTGTTCGCAGTATTTCACTAGGGACCTTGTTCAAAACAATCATTATGTTGCTATGTTGTCAATCAACAAATTTGTCAAAAGTTTCATTTAAAACATAATTTCGAATTTGTAATAATGATAGAAGTATCGAAGACCTTACACCAATCAGTACGAAGAGATCTCAAACGTCGTATAGAAAGCCGATAATTTGTGTCTAATTTACTGTGTACAAAGCTGATAACTCGTTGACTAAGGTAAAAAATACCTGAAAAAAATTATCGGCAATTAGCACTTGTGCAAATTATCGATAATTTGCACTTGAGCAAAATTATCGCTGTAATTCGCTTCCTGTTGGTCCAAAATTGCCAGACGCCTCTGTATTTTCGCCTGAATATTACCTGAAGAAAATTTTCTTTAAAAAAAAAAACAGATTTTTAGGTTGCCATCTTATTTTGCAACTAAATGCAGCACAGGGGGTAACCAAATTGATATTTTATTGGCCTTTTACTCAAGCTAAATTCACCAAAATGTTAAACCGCCACATGACCGCCACGGATGCGGGGATTAAAATTCACTAATGCCAATGGCAAACCACAGCTTCCCAGACCCTGTTCAATTTAGCCACACTCGGATTATGTGTTTTTTCATTAATAAACTCAAGAAAAATTTACCTCGAATAAAATTATTTTCTGGATCTGGATTCCTTGTGGCATCTGAAGAAAAATTCTTTCCCAAAAAAAATGGAAATGAAAAAGTATGTTGACATTGCACATGATTAGTTTTACTTGGGACTGAGACTGAAACGGTTTTTGACAGGTTTTTTGGATAATTTTTAAGAAATGATAGATTTTTCCTAAGAATAAACATTTTCAAATGTTGAGTTCGAACTTATTTTTGTTTTGTGTTGCCAGCAATGCCAGCTGTTTGTTGTTTGTTTTTGCTTGGTTTTTGCTTACATTTTTGAAAAAAGTTAGGTTAGGGTTGGTACGTTGGTAGGCTTCTTACGGAAGATAAATTTTTGACTGGCTTTTGCTCCACCAAACCCAAACAGCTGATATTTCATTCAGTGAAATTCAGTCAGTGCCCAGTGGTAGGGTAGGATTGGTAACTGAACTGGTAAGGGTAAGACGGTAAGACCCAAGGGTAAGACCAATGAAGACAAAACACCAAAACACCAACGTCAACGCAACGGTCATCGTCAACCAACACGATTTGTACAAAATATTGAATATTTTAATAACTATTAATTTTTACTAGTTAATTCACCCGCTTGAAACATCTTTAATTGCACACATTCCCCTGAGCAGATATGTGTGCACATTCTCATTTTTTTTTTTTTAATTTATCTATTGTGTTTTGTTGATTCGGATGATGAAATTTGTTTCCTTTGTTTGAACAAAGCTTACAACAACAATACAAAGGTACTCAAGACTGATGACAACACCAAAACTATTTAAGTACAGACCTAAGGAATTGCTGTCTCATTTTCTTCAAATTGTGGAAGCATTTTAAAAGAAAATGTGTATCCTATTTCTACACACCAACCCTGATCCGAAGGAGGACGAGTACAGGCTGATTGTGGCCACTAACCGAGATGAATATCTTAAACGACCTGCTAAAACTGCTTATCAATGTCCGAAGACTAGTATTATATCTGGTAAGTGATTTTATAAAGGCGCGATAAGATACCACTTCATACCTTTCAAATAAACCCCCATAAGTTCATGAACTCATATTCCTTTATAGTTATTAATGTAATGATAATAGTTTGAACAACACAATGAAATGCGTGTACCTAACGTTAGTTACACAAGATTCATTAATAAAGTACATCAAAAAAGCCATTCAAAATTTAATCTATGATGGTCCAAATAAATTCGATTTGCCTTGAAATGCCAGAGACTTTATGTTCAATTGTTCAATCGAAATTCAAATCAAATCATTTATGCCAGTACAAATAATGTAAACACACGTCAAATAGTAAATTACAAACTGAGTATTAAAATTCAGATACAAACTAAGAATGCATAAAACTTAAATCTAGACATTTGTTCCAGTTTGAAACTTTTTCATTTATGCCTTGTTAATCTATGTTCTAGGTCGTGATATGGAACCAGGAAGAGAATATGGTGGTTGGTTAGGTTTCGTAGCGAAAAAATTCCCAGAAAATGGAACCCCATCTAAATATTGCTTTAGTTGTCTAACTAACTTATCAGGAGGCGAAAAACTACCAAACGCAAATGGCAGAGGATTTCTTGTAATGAACTATCTAGAAGGACAAGCAAATTTCCCAGAATATATTAGAGCACTCAGGAAAGATAAACATGTTTTTGGTGGATTTAATTTGATTGGCGTTGAATTAAGGTATACCTACTTCATTGTTTAATTATTATTTATTGCACTATTTGTTAAGTTAAGCTACATCAACTATTTTAGTAAATTTAACAATGGAAAGCAAATATAATAATATGGTGAAATTTGGTAGTGAAACTGATCAGGGTGGGCTTAGACTTGGTAGACTAATGGCCGTTTGCACCGCTTTAGCTTAAGGGATATTTAATCTTAGTGGAGCTTTGAATGTGACTTTTGTTTCTACAAACGTCACTTCAAAGCTCCACTTATTAAATATCCCTTAAGCTGAAGCGGTGCAAATGGCCGTTAGTCTTACTAGGGAAAACTTCTCCAAATCTTTGCTTTCCTACCACACAGTGGAATTACTTTCTGGCTACTGTACAGGGTGCTGCAATTTGGAGTGTTTTAACAGGAAAAACATACTTCCAGCCCAGATAGAGGAAAATTGACTTAGATGTTATGGGATTGATTTTCGAGAAACGTCGATTATCAAAAACCGTATCGCGATATCCTCAATGGTACCATTGATACAGGGCGATTTTTGATTTTCCCCTATTATGAAAAATGGCTATAAGTTTTTTGTTTATAAATTTTTCTTATTTCTGTGAAAACATTTTTGGGATACTTTTTTGACCACAATCTAGTGGCGTACTCAGTTTTTTTCTATTTCGCTCCCATTTTGAGATATTGACCAAAGTCCGATTTTTTTAAATAGGACACCCTGACCCTATATATTAATAGCTCATTGGATAGCTCTGCTTTTACTGATTTCAATGATATAAAGTTAGATACATAGGTTTATTCGAGGTTTTATCTCTAAAATTATATCTGTTCCAGTCATAAGAAACAATGTGTTAGAAAAAGACTTTCCTCATTTTCCTTATACATATAAAATCCTTTTCTAACACATTGGTCCTTACGATAAAAACAAATATAATTTTTTTTCTCGAAAACTGTTAGAGATAAACCTATCGAACTTTATGTCATTGAAATCAGTAAAAACAGAGCTATCCAATGAGCTATTAATATGTAGGGTGATTCATTTAAAAATATCGGACTTTGGTCGATATCTCGAAATCGAAGCAATATAGAAAAAAACTGAGTCCGCCACTGGATTGTGCTCAAAAAAGTATCTCCATAATGTTTTCACAGAAATAAAAAAAATTGATAAATAAAAAACTTATAGCTATTTTTCATAATAGGGGAAAATCAAAAATCGCCCTGTATCAATGGTACCATTCGGAATCGTTTATTGGTGCTTAAAAATACACAGTACAGTGTTTACACAAGTCAAAATAAAATACAATTTAGCTATCTAAAATTACAATTTCATTAAAAAATTAGATTAACTATCTATTTCACATGATTTTAAATATCTGCTTTACAAAAATATAAAAGTTATGTATAAAATTTCAACAATTACAAATTTACATCACTCACTCACTAATATAACAATTATCAGGACAAGGACATTTAAAAGTTTGGAATCAATAAATAAAATTAAAAAAAAAAAAAGCATTACAGCAATGACTAGAGACAATTTTTGGTTGGTGCAACTGTAAAGGACAATTAATATGAAAACAAATATGAAAAATAATTTATTTTTTTTGTTTTAAATTATGTTTATTCCTGTCCAGCTGAGTGTAGAATTATAAAAATCATCTAGACTGTAAAACGCCTTTATTATGAGAAAATCTTTAATTTTTTTCTTAAATTCGGAATTATTTAGTTGTATTACATGCTCTGGTAGTTTGTTAAAAAGTTTTACAGCATGGTATCCAGGTCCACCCTGACATCTCTGTAAACGATGGTAGATGGGTCTTAAGTTATTTTTGTTTCTCGTGTCATGGCTGTGAAAATCACCATTACACATAAATGAATCATAATGGTCCCTAACATAAACTAGATTTTGCAGGATATACTCACAGGGCAATGTCAAAATTCTGTTGTCAATAAAAGCCTGCTTGCAGTCATCTCGATAACCCAAACCAGCCACCATTCTAACAGCCCTTCTCTGCATGGAGAAAACCCTTTGTGCTCCATTTGCATGACCCCATATTAGCAAAGCATAACCTATATGTGAGTGTAGCAAAGAAAAGTATGTTTGTTTTGTAACTCTAGATGAGACACATCTTGCCAAATTTCTTAATAAAAAAGTGTTTTTGCAAAGCTTATTTGAAATTATTTCAGTGTGTGCATCCCAAAGAAGTTTTTGGTCAAGATGCACTCCTAAGAATTTTACACTTTTGGTCATGGGTTCTATATTTTTTAGAGAAAAAGTATAGTTTTGGGTTTTAGATTCATTCAAAAAGAGCTTGTTAGCAGCAAACCATTGCCTAGCCCTCAACTGTGCCTCCCCCGACATACGGACAGCTGTTGGTAGATCTGGATGCTGAACTTGACCTGTGGTATCGTCTGCAAATTTTACATACTTTTCGAACTCCGCTATTTTGGGTAGATCATTAATATAGATTAGGAATAGAATAGGACCCACAATTGAGCCCTGTGGTACGCCTATGTTTATTTCTCGTTCGCTCGAATTAATGTCATTATAGTTAACCATTTGAGATCGTTTAGTCAGATAGGATTTTATTAGATCTACACTGTCGTTTGAGAATTTGTAAAAAGGGAGTTTTTTAAGCAGGATGTCGTGCGAGACACAGTCAAAGGCCTTGCTCAGGTCACAGAAGGTGGTAACTGTGTGTTGAGAGCTCTCAAAACCTTCCATTATACCTTCTACCAATTTTAAAATTTCCAAAGTTGTATTCTTGCCTCTCCTAAAGCCAAACTGACTATTACTAAGTAGGTCATTTTGCTCTAGGTAACTCGATACTTGTATAGCTAAGCATTTTTCAAGAATCTTCGATAAAACTGGCAAGAGTGAGATCGGTCTGTAGTTGCCTGGATCATTTGGATCTCCTTTTTTAAATATTGGAATTACTTTCGCTGTTTTTAGACAATTTGGAAAGGTTTTCTCTTTAATGCAATGATTTATTAATTTTGTAAGAGGTGTTATTAAGAGATTTTTGACTGATTTTATTAAGGTTATATTAAGGTTGAAAATATCCTTGCTTGAAGATATCGTGATATGGTTTTTGACAATCGAAGTTTCTCGAAAATCGATACCATGACGTCTAATGGCCGTTTGCACCGATCATTTTAAGGGAGGTTTAACGATAATCAACGTTTAAATTGACATTTTTACATGTAAAAATATCACTTGAAACGTTGATTATCGTTAAACCTCGCTTAAAATGATCGGTGCAAACGGCCATTAGTCAATTTTCCTGAAGTATGTTTTTCCTGTCAAAAAACTCCAAATTGCAGGACCCTGTACACCACACCATTACATCAGTTTGAGACCACTTTCATGTGTCGCGAATATGGCAAATTGCAATATTTTTTGACACAGAAATCAACAATATTTTAGTCAGATTATTAAATAAAGAAAAATAGCAAATAAACAAAAATCACATTACTGATAATGCCCTCTCTAAATCTGATATTCGTGCGTGTGTTGTCTAGCCAATGGTAAAGTATTATACTCAAAAATAACTAAAAAGGGTTTTATTTTTATATTTTTATATTTGGGATTTATTCTGAAAAAGCGGTGTTCTGTGATTTGTCAAACGCTTTTGATTGTGTAAAGTCTGTCGATTTTAATCTATACTCCAAAAATATGTGAGCTGGTGGCTCCCTACATTTAAACGCCAATCTGGCATGATTCAGATGTTGGTACAGTGGAGGCCAATATGAGGACGGATCTGCTTAAAATTAGGGATTTTTGACATTAAATGGTTCTAAAATCAAAATCCCTAATTTTTAATGTGCTACCGAAGATATATACTTGGAAAATAAGCCATCACTATGCTAATCTTAAATAAATTATTATGTCTGTCAGAAGCAGAAATCTACAAGGAGAGAAATGTGAAACAAGTTGAAGCCAAAAGAATAATCATTATTGCTGAGGCAGATGTAAATCTAGAGAGCATTACAGGCCGGATTGGGAAGATACGATCAGAATAAGGAAAGACCACTCGAAATAACTCTTATAACAAGCACCAAAGCTAGGGGAATCATAAAGTTAAAATATAAAATGAAAGGAACGGGATGTTAGGTACCTACATCAAATCAGACCAAACTTCTGGACTCTCTAATTGCTACAGCTGACTATAGCTTTTTCCGTGCAGACAATCCCAAACGTATCCCGAATGCTAAGGCATGACCTACGCAGGTTTTCTAATCTTCAGAGACTAGAAGCAACCTATACAGAGATGATCGAGTCTACAGTTACAGGAGGGTGGTGGTGTATATTGGTAAGGGCGGAAGCAAACGGGCATAAGGTCAAGGTAAGGCTAAATAAAAGCTACAGCATCAATCGTGCTATAAACACAATATTTTGAAACATGGAAATAGCAGAATAAAAATACCTGATAGGATGCATTTACAGACCAGGGTGAACTGATAGTACTGATACAGTCGAAAGTTCAGAACTTAGCTATCTGATCAAGATGATATTCGAGGAAAATACTAACGTAGGTACTTATTTGTGGAGACCAACTCAACTACCCAAAAATATGTTGGAAATCACTTAAACTGAATAAACCTTGTCAAAAAGCCAACGAATTTCAGACATGTTACAAGGAATCGAGATACCATTCAGGAATAATTGGCGCTCCTTTCTGGAAAATAAAACGGACGCGCATTATAAAATATACAGGACCCAAACCAAATATGAGAAGGATATCCTGGAAAATAATGATAAACATTTTTACTCTTAAAGAGAAATCCAAATAGCCAGCTAAATGATCTCATGATAAGATATTGGGGGACTCAAAAAATACTGCAGATCTCTTTGCAAGTCAGTTTGAATAACTTTCCTCCTTCGCCTCAACAAACACTAAACAAAGACCCATGAAAAAATATAATCATAACCACAGAAGCGGTCACTGAAGCTTTAAAAGACCTTAAAACTCGCTCCAGTCCAGGACCAGATAGATATACCTGAAGTATTTCTGAAAAATTGTGCACATTCTATGAAAGCACTATTTAACAGTTCCTTACAGAGGGTATGCTACCAGAAATATGGACCCGACTTTGTAATAGCAATCTACATCCGGCTAGACCAATTAGCCTGACATGCACACTGTATCAAGTATTGGAAAAAATTATTGTCAAAGAAATGACCACGTGCCTCCTAGACACACATATATTATAACATCCACACAGCACGGCTATCTACCAAGTAGATCCACTACCCCAAATTAACTTAACTGTCTAAATGCATGGACTAAAGAAATTAATCAGGGAAACCCAGTGGATATACTATACCTAGATTTCCAATAAAGTATTTGATACTGTCCTCATGAAAGGCTGTCATACAAACGGGATCACTGTGGAATCCGAGGCTCCTACTTACGGTGGAGGACGAATTTTCTCAAAGGCGGACACTTCCAAGGAAGAGCAAATCAACTCAGATCTCTACCTAGTTACGAGGGGAGTACCACAAGGGTCGTTCATAGATTCCATTTTCTTTTTGTTCTACATAGCAGACCTGGCAAAAAGCATTAGAACGATCATCGAGACCTTTACAGATGACAAAAAACTTTCTTGCAACCCACTGACACAAATCGACGGTGATCTGACAATACCTGCTATGTGCATAAACGTTAATTTTACAGGGGGAATAAAAAACCGTTCTTATTTAAATAAATTTACAACTGAATATCTAAATTTTAAACAGACGTATTAAATATTAATTGAAAGCAGATAGCAGATAGCAGGCTCTATCGTATTGTGCCTAACAAAAATACAAGGCTAACTGTAGAAAAATCTAATTTTTGAATAAAATGTCAGTTAGCAGGTATTGTCAGATCACCGTCGAATTACACCTGTTCCAAGAAGATCTACAAACAATAGAGCAATGGACAAGCATCTGGCAACTCAAGCTCAACAAGGCAAAATTCGCAGTGTTCATATAGGTCGCAAAATCCCAATGATCCAGTACAAAATTAACAATATCAAATTAAAAAATTTGAAAGAACAGAAGGATCTAGGTGTGTTGTCTATGTAACAACGATCTAGAATGGGAAACGCATATAGGACACATAATAAAAGAGGCCAACCAGCTTTCCTACTTGATAAAACTAGCCTTTGTAATTGCAAACCATGCCATTAGCATGATAGACAGTCTCAGGCTATACAGTACTTACTAAATTTTTTGATCAGACCCAAGTTGCAATATGGCCATACAGTGTGAAACCCTTACTATATCAAAGACATCGAACTTTTAGAGCGGGTGCAACGCAGAGTACCGAAAATTCCACTTGAGATTAGACACTTACCTTACGAGACCAGGCTACAAACATTCAATTTAACAACACTTAAGCAACGAAGAGAAAAAGGTGACCTACTAGAGAACTATAAAATTCTCAGCGGTTACTACTCGCCAGACAATATGATGACAGATATGTATAATCTGAATTTAAACCAGAACCGCAATCTCAGAGGACACCATCAAAAATTAAAAAAGAAAGGGCCCGACTGCTCGGAAGGAAGACTTTTTAAGCAACTGTGTCGTATACCAGTGAAATTCTTCAAGTGAAGAAACTATAAGTGCTACTAATAAGAATGTAATTAGGAATAGACTAGACAAAAATCTGGAAACGTCGAACAATGCCTCAGTGCATTATTTGTAACTACTCAAAAAAAAAAAAAAATTGCAAAAGTAAGTATAGGACAAAATTCCGATTGTGTGACTTAAATGCCAATAACCTGAATTTCTCTATTGCCAAATAGTGCGTATTTACTTTGTGATTATTGAGTTCCAGCATCTTGGATACAGAATTTGCTTCTTGGGGTTTTGTTCTGATAATCTTTTTAATTCAGTGTTCTTACTGCAGACAAGGGCCATTCAATACTTGTAAGGAGCCAACCTTGTGATTCGTGTTGCCCTCTGTTTTTGCACAGTATTCCAACCTTAGACTTTCCAACTGTGTGTTGTCTTTTTATTCTGGAAACGGTCTGTTTAGCATTTAGACAGATTTGAACGAATTCTTTAACGATGTAACTTAACGTTTTACATATTTTGACCGTTTTTGCTCTTCCCCTAGTTTTATCTTTTCATTGCTATGTTTTTAATTTTTAAATTTTTATTGTAATATTCTATGTAGTTTATATTCTTTATGTCATACCAATACATTATTGTGTTTTTCTACTGACATTTCATAATACGCTATTAAACGATTAAAATCTGTATCATAATGAACTTCATTACGATACAGATTTTCATTATAATACTCATTTTTAATATTATACAATGTTGATAGATGGCAGCACTAGTTAAGATATTAAACATTTTAAACGGTGATTTTGCGTAAAACAATTATTTTGATAACTATAAAAAAGAATCCGAATTGTTTAAAAGTTACCTTAAGTTTGGAACAAAGAATAATTATTATGGAAATCATGAATGATAAGGAAGAATTTTTACTTTCTTCATTATTATACATTGTCAATAGATGGCGCCACCAGTTAAAAAAATTCGATTTTTTTTTTTTTTTGAATGTTGACAGCACTCTGTTTATAGCTTTTCCATGGTAATTTAGTGAAAAACAATAATTTTATAAAAAAAATACTTCAAATTGTTATTAAAAGTTAATACCTAAAGTTTGGGAGAAGGCATTATTATGGAAATATTGAGCGATAACGAAGAATTTTCACTAACACCTCCAGAAATTACAGAAAGGGCGACAAATGCAGTTAATAATATACTACCGGACAAGTCCAAGAAAATTTACGAAAAATTATATGGACAATTTATGGATTGGAGAAACACCAAAAATACATCATCCTTCTCAGAAAATGTTTTGATAGTATATTTTGAAGAGTTACAACAAAAAATGAAACCTTCAACTGTATGGACGCATTACTCAATTATAAAATCCCTATTCAAAGTTAAGCATAATGTTGACATATCTAAATATCATCAAGTTTTATCAATGGCAGTAGAAAAAATAGTGTATGCAACTTTCATGTAAATGATCATTGCATAATATACTATTTTATACCTTAGATACCATCTACATAATTCATTACTTTATGCCCGTGCGGGCATAAAGTACACATTATGGCCCGCGCGAGCATAAAGACGCAAAAAACAGTTTTCAATTAACTTATTCTTTATTAACAAAATATAAATTTACGCTTATAAACATATTATTTTTGTCAAAAAATTATGATGTTTGCACCGAGGTTTGCACACTAATGACAATTTGCGATGTGACACTTTTTTCCTAGGTATTTATTATTCACAATCAACTGGTATGACATAAAAGTTTGTATGCACCACGGGTACTAATAGATATATGTATATACATACCCTCGGGCGACTTACGAACCCTCGGGCCAGAGGCCCTCGGCTTTGTGAGACTGTCGCCCTCAGGGCATAAACATCTACTTAGTACCCTTGATACATAAATAACTATTATAACATTGACTTTAATTTTTTGACTCGGATTATTAAAGATCGCGATGTATTTTTAAATCGACTTTGTTAATGAGATGTGTCTTTAAACAATAAATTTTGATTTGAAATTATTAGCAAAAAATTGTCTCAATACGATTAATTCAATTTTTTTCAGTAAAGATGGTACCACTAAAACATACCACACAAGCAACCAGCCACAAATCGATTCGGAATATACGGGCAAACATACATTGGGTTTCGGAAATAGTACCATTGATAGTCCGTATATGAAGGTTTTGAATGGAAGAGCGAGTTTTTTGAGAATAATCGAAAAAGGACTGAAGAAGGAAGAATTGAAAGAGGAACTAATAGCATTGTTAAAAGATAAAACCAAGTGAGAATTAAATTTTATTTTTTTCCTTCACATCTTTAGGCACTTCCCGAGTTGATGTGATGAGATTAGTCTGTCCGGTAATTTTATCTTGCACAAAAACATCAGCCTCATAAAGATGAGGATTTTGTGAAAGCACAAAATTACTGAGTTTCTTCATTTTTTACTGGCCTAAATATTTATTGTATTGCCAATTTTTCCTACTACTTTCCCTTGTTTTATTAAATTTTTTTGATAATAATTACAGGCACTTACCTGATTTCGAACTAGCTAGAAGAACCAATAGTCCAAAAGCTTTAGAAGCATTATCAAGTATATTTGTCGAACCTTCACCTGAATATGGAACCAGGTAATGAATTATTCTTGAGTAAAGGACCACCCAATATTTAAATGGAAATTGGTTACCCGTGATATTTGGATTAAATTTAAATATGTTATTGGGGATGCCGTAAGCAACATTTTTTACCATGGGCACAACCCTGTATATATGACAGGTGATGCGTGGTTAGCTGTCAAATATTGGAATCTTATATTCAAAAGCAGAGTCGGCCTTTACTATGGCAGATTTTGATGAACAAAAAATCTATTTCTACTAAGTCGACCAAGTTAAGTCGAAAAATGTCAACCATTTTAACACCTGTCAAAACCCTGCTAAACGGCAGCACTCATCTTTTCCAGTTTTCAATATTTTATGTTGTCATTTGACATTTTTAACTTATATGTAAATTCTAAATTCAAAAATTGACAAAAAAAATGACAGAACTGTCAAAACCTGTCATTTGTAGTAGAAAAAAATACTCTAATCTGGTCCTTTCTCGTTTTAAGGTAGTTTATTGGTGATAAAACATTGAACAAAGTTCATGCACGTCATATTTTGACAGCTGTCATTTTTTTTTCAATTTTTGAATTCAGAATTTACATATAAGTTGAAAATGTCGAATGACAACATAAAATAATGAAAACTGGAAAAGATGAGTGCTGCCGTTTGGCTGGGTTTTGACAGGTGTTAAAATGGTTGACATTTTTCGACTTAACTTGGTCGACTTAGTAGAAATAGATTTTTTGTTCATCAAAATCTGCCATAGCTACTCTGCTTTTGGATATCAGATTCCAATATTTGACAGCTAATCACGCCTCACCTGTGATATAGACAGGGTTGTGCCCATGATAAAAAAATGTTGCCTACGGCATCCCCAATAACATATTTAAATTTCATCCAAATATCACGGGTAACCAATTTCCATTTAAATATTGCGGGGTCCTTTCCAAAAAAAAACAAAAATTATTTTATTTATTGTTTAGAACACACACAATAGTCTTAGTGGACAAAAATTGGAATGCCGAATTCACAGAAATAACCCTAGAAGACCCAATTTCGGTTGAAAATCCAGAATGGACCACTACAGTCATCAGTGCCAGTTTGTAGCTTTAAAATAAAGAGGTAATAACTGAACACAAAAATTTGGTATATGTATTTTGCAAATGATACAGTTTATTTGTTTTCAGAATTAACTACTCCAAACCAAACCTCAGGTCGCATTATCTTAAAAAATATAAATCCATTGTTATACGTATTGTGTATTTATTAAATAATTTAATTTAGCCAAAAGAGCATTGTATTTTTATAAAAATAAATGTTATATTCTGTTGTTTCTCTGTTAAATTTGATTGTGGTTACAATAAATTATTAAAACAAATGTCTAGAATAAATAATCATTTATTTTTTTTATGTAAAGCAAATGTAACATTGGTTTTTGAAAATTTAATTTACATTGTAATGGAAAAAAAAATCTAACAAACAAAATGGCTTCTACACTAAACAAAAGCCATTTCTTATTGGAAATATTCATTATACATGGTGTTTTAGGTTGACATGTTTGTTAATTAAATCACCATGTATAATGAAGGAAAAGAAATAAGGGCATTTTTACATAATTTGATAAACTCTTCACAAAGAAAAATGTAATAGTTATTTACCTAACAAATGCGGAAAGTGATACTTTACCGCACGCAACGGCAGTTGACCGAACGACGCGAAGCGGAGTTCGGTCAAGCCGTTAAGGGCGGTAAAGGCACTTTCCGCATGTGTTAGGTACAAAATTTTACCTATGAGCATCTACATCTCCAAAAAAAGGCATTGATAAAATTAATTAATGAATCAGATTGATTAATGAAATAAGATTAAATTTAGAAATGATCAAAAATCCATTTTCTGAAAAAGAAAGGAATTTTGATTATAAATATCAAATTCTACTTTACCGCACACTATGCGGTAAAGTGCACTTTACCGCACACTTTGTAGTTCACTTTACCGCATACTATGCTGTAAAGTTAACTTTACCGCACACTATGCTGTAAAGTTAACTTTACCGCATAGTGTGCGGTAAAGTGATACTTTCCATTTTCAAATACGTGCGGTAAAGTGTACTTTACCGCACGCTCGTAGGTAAAGGAAATTTTACTTTATTAATCAAAGTGAATTAAGAAACATTAATTCATTTTGCCTCAGATTGTTAGGAGAATTTTATTAAGACAATATAGGTCTTCAATATGTATGTGTAATACTGAGGATAAATTGTCTCAATGGGCTCTTTCACTAAAATTTAAATACGTAATTTAAGTATAAAATCTCGAAGAAGGGACTATTTTAGGCATATATACAAAAAAAAAATGTTCTACAAGGTTCAATAAGTTTTTCACAGGCACATGAATCTGACGAAATTCAAATTAATTTTAAACGCGCCGATTTGCCGACGTCACATAAATATTCTTCATTTCGCTTATAATGTTGCAAGGAGGACCAGCTCGGCTGTGTTTGCGCTCTGTGAAGATACGTAAAGGTTGGAATGCGCTGTTGTCGGCTGTGATTACATGTAGTGCAGCGTAAAATAAATAAATAAAACTAAACATAAAAAATTGTATTAAATTGTGTTTAAGCATAATTTAAAAAAAAATGTTATAAAATCTTGAATCTATAACTAATTAATTTAACTACTTTTCATGAGATTTTTCCAACATTTCAGAATTAAATCTATTACAAATTTTCAATGTTGACAATAATTAGTGGCAACACGGTCAAATTGCGAGCTGCGACGTCATAGAAATAAATTCTGTGTTTTTATTTGGAGGTATTTCTTTGTTTTCTGTTTTCTCAAGAAGGACTTTGAATTTTTCAAAAGTAAAAATACAGAAAATTCTGTTTTTAGTTGCTTTATCCAAATATGCCAATTTCAAAAATTAGTGAAAGAGCCCATTGGGCTCTATGGATTTTGCCCATTTTTTGATATGTTATAGAGGATTTAATTCTTAACAACCTTTAAATGGGACGAAATCTTGTAGGTATTACGGTTTTTAAGATATGAGCGTTGAAAGATAAACTTTTTTGCGACTTTTTGTGTGGAGAGTATACGAAAAACTGGTGTTTATCCATTGTTTATCAGTCAAAATTTTGACAGGTCGACATATTTCACGTCACTAACAAATGTCAACATAGGCTAAGACCGGGACCGCACTGGCGCCAACGCCAACATTGACCCCAGTGCGGTCCTGGCCTTAACCTATGTTGACATTAATTTTTAAGTGACGTAAAACATGTGAACCTGTCAATATTTTGACTGATAAACACAGTACCACCAGTATCTCGTATACTCTTCACACAAAAAGTCGCAAAAAAGTTCATCTTTCAACGCTCATATCTCAAAGGCCGTAATACCTACAAAATTTCGTCCCATTTAAAGCTTGTTCAGAATGAAATTCTCTACAACATATCAAAAAATGGGAAAAATCCATAGAGCCCAAAAATCCCATGTTAGGTGTGCGTTATCCTTTAAGTTATAATTTAACTTGGAGTAGGTTAATTGAGACAATTTCTCCTCAGTATTACACATACATATTAAACACCTATATTGTCTTAATAAAATTCTCCTGACAATCTGAGGCAAAATGAATTTATTTTCTACTTTACTATTATAGATCCATAATACCTAGGAAACGAAATACGTTAACACACCTATAACAACCTGATCCATAACGCCCGCTTTTGCGGGCGTTATGATCTATAACGCCCGCTTATAATACCTTAAGGTGTTTTTGTTTTTGTTGTTCTATTAATTTGCACTTTACCCTAGGCAGCCACTAAATGTCTGACCGAAAATAATTTTCGGTCTAGCCAGGATTCGAACCCGGTCTACCATCAACGTTTCCCATGTAGTCCAGCGCGTTAACCCACAGGACCACCACCGTTGCCTTGCCTTATGAGATGTTTATAGATATATCAATTTATTTCGTTTCTATGTACAGGTCGCAGGTACAGGTACAGGCCACAGGTACAGGTACATGTCAAAATACAAATCAATATTCTGTCGCACAAGTTTAACTGATTTTGTTAATAATAAATTGATGAAAAAATATTGGGCTGAGTAGAAAATAAAGCATTGTATGCACCACGGGGATTTCAAGATTATAATGCCCTTCAGGCGAAATATATCCCTCGGGCCATAGGCCCTCGGGCTAGTTTCGCCTTCGGGCATTATAATCTACATAATCCCCTTGGTACATAAATAGCTATAATGTTTCTTAATTCACTTTGATTAATAAAGTAAAAGTTCCTTTACATTTTTTTTTGTGAAAGTTTATCAAATTATGTAAAAATGCCCTCTTTATTTCTTTTCCTTCATTATACATGGTGATTTAATTAACAAACATGCCAACCTAAAACACCATGTAAAAAAAACCTAGAATAGTCTATATTGAGAATCTACACTTCAAAAAATCACGACTAGCCGTTTTTTCTTAAAAAACTAAATCGATTTTTTCTTGTTTGTTTTTTTTAGCCTTTTATTTTACTTGGGTTTTTTTCTATACGTTTTTATTATTATTTTTATTTATATCTATACATTACTTTACATTATTATTTTTTTTGTGATAACTACATTACATTATTTTTTTCGGTTGGGTTAGTTTAAAAAAAAAAAAAAAAATTATGGGTATTATATGGCACAAAATTTCTCAGAAATAAGACAAAATACACCTCAAGTTAAATTTTGAAATTTTACAGGGTTTCTTAACGATCTTTGTTATGTTTGAAAATGTTATAGGGTCGCTCATAAGATCCCATCAGATTTTAAAAAGAACCATTTTTGGTTATGATAAAGTACAAATTTGCCCTGGTATTCACACAAGTCCTGGAAGTGACTTGATAACAAACTCTGGACTCAGCTATCGCCTATCAGTCACGAATTTCAGTACTATGGTGTAAAGAGCTATACAAATAACAGATTGCATTACACTATGCAGACTTGCTTCATTTTAGCCCGTAAAACAAGTTTATCTACGACCTGCACAATAAGTGACTATTATGTCACTAATTTTTGCTCATTTGCGTTATGTAATGAGCCCTATTACCGCACTAGTGCGGTAATGAATCATAACGCGTTCATTATCGCACTAGTGCGGTAAAAGGTAATTATTTTTTTTATAACTACATAATCGAGTACACAATAGCTATTTATAATAGACAAACGACAATAGTCACTTATTTTGCAGGTCGTAGATAAAATGTTGTATATCACACGTACGGTAAGGCTCATTAAATACTCGTCTGGTTACCACGAGTCGGTCTACGACCCAGTGGCGGCTCGTGGAGGAATTATCGGGGTAGGCGGAGGTGGCGAACATGTGAGGAGGCGCCAGTATTAGAATAAAATGCATACGCGCCGCCGGAGGAGAAATTTTCTTTTCGGGTGCCAAGCCTTCAAAGCTTGTGAAACTGATGTTAAGCTTTAGTGTTTTCCATATGACACGGCAATTATTGAATGTCATAGATTTCATGTCATAGAATCCCTGCGAGACCCACACAACCAGTGATGACTGTCATACCAATGAGGTTTAAAAGATCGCGAAAAACTTTGTCCTCCCTTTTTGTCCGTTTTTAAAATATTTAGAATCGGCTTAGGTCGTCCAAAATTACAATTTCACGTCGATCGTCGTCTTTGAGCCGAGAAAAAGGCATTTCCAGCAAGGAACATGTCATGTTTGGGATCAAAAATGTTCACTATAATTCACTTGAAACTGAAACACTGAAGTATATACTAAAAACAAATCAGGATTAATTAGCGGGCTTGCTAAATATCAATTATCAGTCATCAGAAATTTCGAGAAAGCAAAATGATCCAATTTCTAGCGAACTGACTAAACAAGATCAACAAAATGTTGTAAGTTAGCACACCTAGCGGGCTAACTGCGAAAAAAAAGACAGCTTTTCTTAGCAGTCGCCATAATGCGCAGATATCGCGTGAGAAAAGGATACAGGCGCTCGCGGCCATCGCCTTTAAATCGCATATAAAATTTCCAATCCGCGCGCCGCGCCTGCCACTGGTTTATTACATACGGTAGCATAGGGCGAGCTAAAGGCGACTGGTAAAAAATAGGGTTGACAAACTATCGAAAAAAAAACTATCGATAGTGATATCGATAGAATGGCCTACCCATCGATAGTAACTATCGATTGTACTATCGATAGTTTGCTCTGACCAAAGTAACCAAATTTGTAATTAATAACGATAAACATTAACCTCCAACCTCCATTAGTCCATCAAAGTCACTCGTCATTAGGCAATTCAAACCACGTGACATTCAAGATGGCGTGGCGGCCATAAATGGGCCAAAAAACACAAAAAAAGTAGGGAGTGAATTCTGCGCCTACCGGTAGGTGCTGTTTGTTTCATTGATTGTGT